TAGAGGAGCGACCCCTAGACCCGAGACGCTGGGGAGTTGCCTCTCCCTCTGCCGTAGAGTGCAGGTCTGGCAGCACCGGGCAATGCGTTGGACAGAATTTGGCTTCCTTCAGGCATGTCCTCTCGCCTTCGCACTGCTCTTGACGTGATGTGGCACTTTGGGCTGCAACTTCCATCGTCGAAGTGTCCGAGTAACAACCCAAGCAAGCTAGAAGGAGTGTGTGATGCCGTTAAAATCTAGCAAATGTGAACCGAGCGACTCTATCAGAAGTCGTCTAGGCACATTGCCACACCTGGGCTAACAGGCAAGCAAGGGTCGCACTGACAGTGGTTTCAGATCCAGCTCTGGTCCGACAATCCGGCAATCCACAATCCGGCGCGGTGGTGCAATTCCAGGAGGCTTCCCAAAGGCACGAAAAGCCTAATCAGACACATCCTGATCCAATTGCACAGTTGGGTGGCTGTTTGGGTGGCAACATCGTGCGGAAGTCGTTGTCGCTCGGTCGAGCAAATTCTTGCAGGGCATAGAGCGTCCCATCCTCCAGGGACGGAGGACAAGTTACACGAGTCATGTGACTCCGTCTATGAACTTTGTGCCATCCAGCAATCAGAATTTCGCAAACCTGAACTTTTTCACACATGCTCTGTGCACATTTAATTGCAAATCTATACCGGACATGTTGTGTTGGATAGTGGAGGCTACAGCGAACAGAAACAGCACGCTCCCCAAGCCTGCAGCGCCACGAGAAGCTCTCCGCTGCGGAGCAACAGCATAGAGACGACTGGATAGCGAATCCTGGCTGACCGTCCAGCTAGACTCAACTTGGTCTGCGGCGAGTTGCATGGATTCTCTGCAGCTCCCTTTGCCCTTCAAAGGCGTCCTTCCTCCCACCGTCAGTTCGTGCGAAGAGTAGGCTCCTGCGGCAATTGCCTCACAGCGAGGGCGGCAAACTTGGACCCTTGGCACTCTGGATCGACGCAACTTGCGGTTGGTGGCAGAAGACTGTCAGCCTTTCTACGTGCAGTTGGCACTGAGTGGGGCAAGGCATCACCAGGCAACGGCCAAGCCTTTGGCGGCAAGATCATAAAGTTTCCACGGTTGCGGCCCAGGGCCAGCGAGCCACCAGGGAGGGCTGACATGCCTTGGATCTGCCACGTAACAACAAGTTCATTCACCAGCAAAATCTAGAGGACGAGTCGGAGCAGGGATATAGTAATGTTCCGGAATATGCAGCACGCCGCATGCACCGATCGCACGTTCCCACACGAAGCCAATGCGTTGGAATTGACAAGCAATCGCACTCACTGGAGGATGCAGACGCCGAGATGGCTCTCAATTCCGAACACGAATCTTGGCCGCATCACAAGCACGGCGTCATTTCACGCGGCCTAACACGCTCTTAACAGGAGAGCACTGGCAAATCGGAGCTCATCGTCACGGCAGCACACGTTCAGAAATCAATCCATCCCATACATTAAGTCCCGCGAAACCATCCACCATCTATACATTAGCAATACCTGCTAATACATTAACTGGAAAGCCACACGGCCGTAAGGGTTTCTTCGGTCGGATGGTGGGAGGGTGGACGGGCCGAGCTCAAACAGGCGAACGTACCTGCATCCTGATTTGTCTTCGCGCATTGCCAAGCTGCAGTAGGTGCTTGTGCTGTACTGATCATGGACAAGGTGGAGCACAGAGCTTCCGAGCCCGCTGCAAGGCAGCAAGTCTTTGCTGGCCAGCCTCGGCTAAAACCAAAACACGATGCATGAAGCAGCACCGGAGTGAGACCAGTCACTACTGAACCACACTCTCTCATAGCCACAAGCTCTACAGCACATCATGAAGCATGAGATACGCGTGCAACTGGACAGAAAGACACAGAGAGGGACAGAGAGTGCCGAACACCTCTCTCTCATAGCGCAACGAGAACCAATGACTGAGCAGCTCGGTCAATCTTGACTGCACACGTACTGGGTGCAACGTGACTGTTTGCACCAAAATTGTCAGAAAATCTTTTGCAGCCTACCGCACAACAGAAAACAACAAAACGGTTCCTCTGATCCCTTGCAGATGGGTGGCTACAAGTGTCTACTCATGCTGCTCTAGGGCCGGATTCTGAAAGTTCCTTTGGATACATCTGATGCATGATTGGGGCTTTGTCTTTGTTGCACCAGGCCGAGTCATGCAGTCTGGTGCCTCTGCACGCTCAAATGTTCGAGTGCCCCGTTGAAACATAGCCTAGTCACGGATCAGTGAACTGATTGATAATTACAAACTGTACTGGGCGCAAGCTCCTTCCATGCAAACGCACGCACATGCGTGTGACAAGCCGGGGATGGGAGCTCGCAAAGCTCCAAGAGCCAAGATTACTTAGACGTCTTGGTCGGAAACACTGCATCAGTTCCCAAGTCTGTTGATGATCGCTCTGAGATGACTCGAAGGGCCCCGATCGGACTCCAAACGCCCTTCGGAAGAGAACAGGATCCTTGAACTGAAACTACTTCTTCCTGAGATTTCGGGCATTGGTTAAAGCAGTAGGCAATAACCGTGACGATTCCAGCATGTCGCCACAATTCGAAGAAACAGCGAGAACAAGGAAGAACCGGGTTGCTTCAACACCGCAAGTCATGGTGTTGATGAACACCGTTCATATGCAAGACAGGCACGTGAAGAGAGACTTGCCCCGGCTGCCGACGATGGTGTCCTGCATACTCCGCGGCATCAGGCAGATGCACGACATTACCATCTAGTTAAGTCGTGTCTGCATGTCCAAAGCTCCGAAAGGCGCAAAACTCGGAGCAGGACTTTGACCATCCATTGGCCCCGAAATTTAAAACCGCGACTCCGAATCTCGGTTGCAAACTTCCGGGCTTTGTGCTGGGCTCAATCAAAAATCTGAGAAGCGACCAGCTTTACAAACTTTGGGCAATTTCGAAGGCGAGGCCAAGGGAGCAAACAAGCCGCACTGACACAGACCCAAGTAACAAAGGAGTTTCAGAACCGGAGCACCGTAGTCTTGTCGTAGGCAATTCTCTGGAAGGGAAGCGCGCCTCAGTTTTCGCAACCGAATGCAACATCAGGAGGTGTTGCATGCGCTATGCTCTCGCTTGCTTGATTGCCAAAGCAAGCAGGCGCCTCCACCCCGAAGTGGGGCTCTGTCCGTCCGTGTCCATCGTCCAGGCGGCGTGAAACTACACGGGTTGCCCCAGCTACACCTTTAACCCCACCTCAACACCTGTCCCGGACCACACGGAACCTCGCGCAACTGCACTGCCTTCGCCTACCTGCCTACCTCCCACCGCTGAAGTTATGCTCTCGCTCTCTCTCTTTGCTCTGCTCTGGGGCAAGGAGAAAGGGCAGTCCCCTTTGCTCGCTCTCTCGCTCTCTCTCTGTTGCTTGCTTGCTTGGGCAGGATCCCCTGGCCCGAAGGCGCGCCTACCCCCGCACGTCTGTGTCAATGCGATGCTCGGCCCCTTTCGGGGTGGCTGAGTACGTTCGCCTGACCCATGGAACAGTGGTAGTAGTTGCAACAACAAAATGTCACGTGCTCTCTCTCTCTCTCTCTCTCTCTCTCTCTATCTCCCTCTTTTCTTCTGCTTCTTCAGGGCATAAGGGGTCTGCGAAAGCCCCCGGCCCCCGGGGCCCCCCGTTTTGTTCGATGGGGCTTTGGAGGAGTGTGAAAACTGGATTGTATCCCCTGGTCGACGCGAGATTTGATAACAGTCTTCGCTTCGCAGGGGAAAGGTCCACAGGTCGCGGACCTCTCTCTCTCTCTCTCTCTTTCTCTCTGTCTCTCCCTGCTTCTGTACACATCCTCCAGCGCCACACTCGAGAAGGGCAGTAAACACTTGCTCGTGGGCTATAGCATTTTTGCTTTTGCTTCGGGGCTCCGTTGGATTTGCCCGGCGCATAGCCACTATGCGGCCATGCATGTAGCATTGGAGACTCAGCGACTTAGCGAAGCTGATTCAAGTTACAGGTCGTACTGAAGCAATGCCATGTACGACATCATCACAGAAATATCAGTGTCACACCACTTCGATGTGAGACATACGAAGCTCAGGCCAAATGCCAGCGACATCGGATCTCCACCCTACCGGTCGAGCATGAAGCGTCACAACACAATCATCTGCAACAATGGAAGTATGAGATGCATCCTCATCATACCAAGAACAGACAAACAGCTGGAACATGAAGCACGGCTTGCTCATTCGAAAATATCTCACTGCATTCACCAATAGGGTTTCAAAATTCCCCGTATCAGAGAGTTGAAAGGTGAGTGGCCCATCAATAGTGTCAACCCATGCCATGTGTATGCCATGGGGACCCAGTTCATCAACGACGGCGACACACCATCGTGGTCGTAGTTATTGGCATCACTCGTCTTCTTCCGCCTCCTTTTCTCACAATCATTAACATTAACAAGCATGCTAGCTGGAGGCAACTATTGCTGCTGCCATTACCGAGTATTCCCCTACCGGCGTGTTGAAACACTCATGGGGTTGCTTACCCTACATAGGCCTCGAGTGCCTGCAATGGGACTTTGCCAGCAGAGCTGCGGCAAGCCGCCGGGGGCCACTGGCGGCCCCATTCCGAGAAGGGCCTAGGACTGGAACTCTCAGCGCTGCTGCGATCAACGCACACTCTGCCGCACCCAAAGCATGCGAATCCCAGTGGCTTGAAAGGCGGAGGTAGCGCTGCGCCGGCCAGCCATACCTGATTTCAGGGCCGTCGGGCCTTGAGCCCTTGAGCCTCAACATCAACAACCCTCACTCAACCCTTGCCCTCGCGCTGAAGCTCCAAAATGCTGCCGGCGTGACCAGGATAAAGGGAAATCCCCACATGCTGCGCAGCAGGTAGCCATAGCAGGAACCGCACGCTGCTTCGGCAGGAGACTATGAAGGTCGTACAGCAGATGGTCCGGACCATCTACACTGAAGGATGCTGAGGTCTGAAGCTGAGCTCCTTGTACAGGAACTCAAAACGACAGATCGAATCACTCACATCTTCTGAAAAGCTAGCTTCCTGGTTCCCACAATAGCAACAGCAGTAGAATGAGCCCCTGGCCTTGAGACAGAGCCCGGCAGACCGCTCACAAGCTGAAAGCCCACCGTAAGGCCCGAAGCCATCGTGCTTGAGCGAAAGGAAGGCACTGCTTGTGTAACCAAGGCCCGAGCACGCCTGCGACACTCCTGGCTTTGGCTTGCAGGCACGGTGACTTCTCTGCAGAGTGAGATCAGCCAACGGACGCTGCTGCATTCGAAGGTCCTCGATGATCCACTTGGTGGGATCTTGCAAAACAGCCTCAGCGTTGGCCTGGTCCAAGTCATTGAGGATCCTGTCAGATGGGACGATAAGGAAACCTAACGCTGAGCTACAAAAGTTTCGCAACGGAACCAGAGCCACAAAAAGGGCGTTTGCTTTTCAATCGGCCACAACCTGACAAGAACACAATCCGACAAGAACAGAGGTTTAGGTGGTTTAGAGATGAGGCTTCAACGACGAGGCATTGCAACTGTTCTGAAAAGCCTTGCATGTCTCGTCTCATGTCGAAGCTGGTGTGTTGGCCCTTGTGGAAAAAGTATGATTTGCGTTCGTGTCGACTTGCTCAAGTTATTCTTTCGCGGTGGCCTTGCGAGCCTTCTCTTGTCCTGCCAGTCATATCGAACCATCCCCAGCTCATCGGTTTAGAAGCCGTTTCCGTTTCAATACTCATCATGCGATGTAGATTCAAAGCACCCGGCCAAAGCATGGCACCGAAGTCTATCCCAGCAGTTCATAAAGCTCGCCCAGGTTTCTCCAAGGGCAGAACCTCATTCTCCCAAGAATCCTGCCTCATGGCCACCCGGGGGTCGGTCATGCCCAGGGTCTGAATCACTTCCTCGCATATGGAAAGCTGGGGAGTGGATAGCATGCGACTCCGGTCTTGCCAATCGTGCCCAAAGGCACGCAACCTTAACGTGCTGGCTCCAGGAATGAAGAGCAGCAGTCCTGGAAACGGATCGGCGCCAGGAGGCCTCCGTGGCGATTGTACCTGTTCTTCTCTTCTTCATTCACGAAATCCACGTTTAGTCAGTCATGTTAGCTTGCATCGGCCACCATCTTCTATGAGTGCCACCCCCTCCTTGACTGACCAGGGACCACACCCGCCACAACCGCTGCACCCGCATGCACACAGGCATCATCATTACCGACAATCGCCACTGCCACATCACCGTGCTACTCATTTCATCATCACCACCATCACCATCATCGTCGTCATCATCATCATCATCATCACCATCTGGAGGACAGCATCGCAACAGTCTACCATCTGACAGCATGTGAGCATGCCTGCTTGCAGGTTCCATGTGATCGCATGTTCTCAGCACGATGATAAGGACTTCGCCAATCTAAGACTCGCCATACGCTATGACACATATGTATGGGAGTATCGACACCACCTGTATGTGGCAAAGTTCATGCCATCTTCCAATGAGCATCCACAGATTTTTGGCACTCGCACTGTCGTCTGAGCTCAAGTACCGTCCGAGACATGTCTGAAGGTCTGCATGGATAATCTGCATTACGGTTGGTGGTGTAAATTCTGCATTACCTTAAGGACCCCACACTGTGGGAATTGTGGCAAATTCCTTCTTATGGGTCATGCAGGATTTATATCATCAACCGTATTTCCCAAGCCTGCTTAGAAGTCTGTGCACACTTGCAGGGGGCACCAGTTGATGGTCCTCTTCATCTTGGCGCGGAACCTGTGCCACACAGTTGCAATAATTCAAGGTGGACTATAAGATCACAGAATTCACTTCCCTTGTGGCGCATCCTTTTGAAAAAGCTGCATTGGAGGAAGCTCTTTAATGTCTGCACGGGCTCCAGAGAAGCCGTTGTGCAGTGTCTGGACTCGTGGCCAAGGCACTCGTCGGTCTCCTGCTCTTCGCCTTCGTCAGCCTTGCCTGGACGAAAGCGCAGAAAGTCTGCATCCGCACACGCAGAGCTGAACGAGTCTGTAGCCTTTTCCGTTCAAGCTGCATGTTTTAACTGCGGGCAAGGCACCTTTTCCAGCACCTGCAGCGCACGTGCGACTGTAAATACCAACTCCACGCGGAATGCATCAACACGGACACTCGGCGACGATTCTGCTTCGCGTCACTGTGTGACAGGTTTACCTTCACCAAGCCCTGTGCCTTGACGTGTCTTGACACGTTAGCCGAGTGCGGATAAGATGAAGAAGCTACATGTGGCAGCAACTCGCGACAGGAAGCACGATGACCCACACTGCTGCTGGCCTTTGTTGCCTGACTTGTTGTTCTTCTCATCGAGTTCCTCGGACTTCTGGCCTTTGTGCAACGGAGATGGCGACTGCGGGCCATCAGGACAATCTGACAGGAAAACATCAAAACCAAGTCGGCGACTGCGCCATTCGGGTACGGCATCCTTGCTTGCGGCCTCAGCTTTGCCTTGGCGGGATATGAACCGAACTCACCCAAAGCATTGTCCCTTCCACATCACTGCAAGAATCCACCCGACCCTCAGAGCCCAAATCAGAAGCACCTGGAAGCCCAGGAGCCTTCGGTCTTGTTGTTGCCCTTGTGGTCACGGTCACTGTCCTTCTCTCCTTTGCCGTCTCCCTGTCAATGGAACCAGGTCGTGTCTCGCGCGAAGCTCTTCGGATTTGGAAAAAAGAACCATCGCTAAAACCCCAAAAAGCGCTCTTCTTTGCAAGTCCGAAGCCCGGCCCCGGCCTTGCCCTTGGTCTCGTTCGCCTGCTTGCGCAGCTTCGCCTCGGGGCCACAAACACCCTCAAGAAACCGGCTCCGTACGTGGGGGCTCCTAAGGGGTCATGACAAGGACCCCTAACTCCTGCACGTTCTGAAGCCTTCCTTTCGCCTGCACTTCCACATATCGACCCTGTCGCACCCGAAGACTTGTCTCCCCCCTGAACCCTGCTCTGCCCAACCTGGTTGATGATCCATCCGGTAGGGTCTGTCAAGGTCTCCTGGATTTCCAGCGGGCGGCAGTGGGGGGTGCTCGTCAGTTCGGCTCTTGACGGGATACCTTGAAGATGCTGTCATCTCTGCAAAACTATCATACACTCTTGGTTCTACGATGATGCCGATATGAGGTACAACCAGCTGTGGACAGTGCCACTGGCCCTGCAGGCTCACCAGTTGCCATCAACGTCTGGCAATCCCCATATTCGCTCGCGTCCTTCGCTTGCTGGTCCAAATCGTAGAGGATCTTCATCGCCTGAAAGAGAAGACCGTGTCTCGTCTCTCGGACTTCTATGTCCAGAGTCCTTTACTGCGCTAACTGGTGACTGCAATCAGTTCTTTGCATGGCAACATAACCGGCTACACCATCATGACAATGGTGCCTTACAGCGAAGCACAGGCTCCAACCCTCCAGCCTTCAGCATTTGTTTCACCAAGCGCCGGGGACCGCTTAGTGCCCTTGCAGATAAAACCCCTGGTCTTCCAGAGCTCGGGACGCACTGAGCATACCCCTGGAAAACTCGGGGCGACTCCTGGATTGGAATCCCAAAAGATGAATTTCTATAGTCTAGATAAATTCATAGAGCCCCTGCAGCTGTACATGGCCAGTTCTGCACACAGCCCTGCAAACACCACTTGCATCCCGCAAGCGGCGGACTCGTCTAAAAAATGAGTACCACCTACTTCTGCGAGGGAAGGAATTGGTGGGCTCACTATGCCACTATGCTGGTTATTGCCGGCATGAAGCGCTGAATTCGACAAGCTTGAATGACCCCATGCCCCAAAGATTTGGCATCATCTATCTATGGGATGACCACCGTCGCGTAGTCTGGCTGCTTTGTGGCGTTCACAGAAGGGCTCCGGGTGATGTTAGAATCAGGCGGATGCCCCGTAGTGTTCCTCACATCGGTCGAAGTGTTGGCCGTGACATTCGCCTTGGTTGGTTTCACGGGTTGTGCTGAAAGGAGCTGCACTGAGGAGTTGGGATCGACCTTGATGCTGAGCGTCCCGTTGATGTCACTCCCCTCCAGGTCCACCTTGCCACCGTTCCAAGCCTGAACAACGGCATCCCCGATCACGCCTGAGCTGATGGTTATGTTGGCATCATCTGCAAGGATGAAGTGCGAGATGTTTGGATTCGCCTCCATTCGCGCGACTGTGAGGTTGCTCTTGCCATCTGCTACCACGGCTCCCGTCACGTTGTCCACCCAAACATCCGCACCGCCCGTAGCTGCGACTGCTTTGAGTGGTTTCGGCACTGTGAGCGTGGCAATCTGACCACCTTTCGGCCAAGCAAAATGCTGCCGGACGGCTCGGTCGTCCATACCCAGAAGCAGGGTGGAGCCGAAGGTCATAGCCTGAACCTGAGACTGGACCGTCCAACCCAGGCCCATGGAGTCTGCCGCAACCTCAAGCACGGGCTTCAGCCGAGCCGAGTCTGTAACGACATGGACCACCATCGGCGAACTCACCTGGAGTCGCTCGAAAGGGGCCAGCCAGTCCCTTGTGGCAGAGACCAAAACGAGCTGCAGCAGGCAAAAAGCGAAAGCCACCATCCTGAAAGCACCGGTCAAAACCACGGCAACGGATTGCTTGATGCTTATAATGGCCGCCAGTACTTGCATGAACGTATCCAGCACAGAACATGCCTGTCAGAAGTCACTACAGAATTCACCGAATGATAGCAGAGACTGGGTAGTCTTTGGAAGGACATGAGATCTTCAGCGTTTGCGGCTTGCAGGTCACTTTCTGTGGCCAGCGGCCCCAAAGCAGCCGACCGGGCCTGGGACGGCTTGATCTCCGAGAGATGCTCGTGCACCTCAGCCGGAGTGGGGATCGCAAGACGCTGCGCGATCGCATGAACGGGATAGGCCGCGGCCGCATTGAGACGGATCTGCTCCACCAGCTGGCCATGCTTGTTGTACCAGTGCACAGTCCTGGCAGTGCTTCCTCCCTGCTTGCTAGGAAGTTCCAACCATGATGGGCCCAACATTTCCCCGACCATTCCGACAAACGTTGATGATATTTGCCCGCACCCAGTTCCACCCAAACATTCCAAAATGCCCACATCCTTTTCGCCACGACATCGCGCTGTGATATTCACAGGGCTGCTATCGCTGAGCAGTCTTTCTGCAAACAGTAAACTAACATTTCCTCAGCATGCTTTGTCCTTCGCGGTCACATGTCCGTTTGCCGATAACTCAAGTAGAGAAGTGTCCCAACATACTCAAAATACTGCCAGATCGAAATCTGGCACAGAATGCAACCAGCTGCTTGGCATTGTTGCTGCTCAACTTGACGACGGAGCCTGTCGCGATTGTCGCGGCGTCACTTCGGTGAAACTCAGATGCGCATCAGCATCCTGATAGCATCCTTAGCTGTCACTGGCATGCGGTTTGTCTCTGTTCAACTCCGGATTCGGCCTGTGTGGGCCCCGTCGCACTCCGGCGGACTACCTTGATCTGATTGCAATCACGGCTCCGCGATCGCGAGGGCAGGTCTGCATCCTCCAAGCGTGCAACCCGTGGCCGAGGCTTACGATGCTTAACATGTCGAAGCTCAGCAACACCAAAAACACCCACATCAATTTAGATACGAACCTTCTGATGTGGTCGGACATGGACCGCCTTGGCATCTTGCGCTCCAAGCATCACTGCTGGGCAGGCCTTGAAGCAGTCGGACAACTCTCGCTTCCCCTTCAGCACCTCAGCAGCCACCTGTCAGCATGTCGGCTGGGGGTCATGGTGTGCTGAAGCAAAGCTCAAGAACCAACTGCTCAGACTCAGACTTCAGGGGCTCTGCGCTGAACTGATTGCACCCCCAAAAGGGCCTGGCCTGCTGCATGCGCCTTTGCCGCTGCCTCCGGGCCAAGTGCTGCTGCGCGCGCCTCTGGAACTCCTGGGCATCCGTCGCGATTCTTCACCCATTTCCGTTCTAACCGCTCAGAACAACTTCGCGCGTGCCTTCTCCCTGTCGTTGCTGAGCGCTTCCTCAGTGGAGTCCTGCGAGAGACTCGGCCCAAGACATGCCGTCAGTTATTTCAAGCGGAGGCACTATCACCATGCACGAAAAGTCCATGTGGTCAAATCCAGGTAGCTCCCCGCACAAATCAAAGCTTATTCTTACATATCCAGCAGCCAGCAACATTGGGAGCAACCCGCCGATCGGCACCAGATGCTTTCCTCCCGGGAACGGGAAACCTCGAAGAGCCGCCAGCCAGTCACCTCAAGGTGCCCCAGGCCCCAGAAGCCACAAAGCTTAGTTCTTGACCTCTCTCTCTCTCGGACCCAGTCGCATGTCAGCCGCGAGCAGAACACAGCGATTTCGCTATGTGCGTGTACATACAAAAATAACTCGAAAGAGGATCTCTTCATGTGCCATGCCCAATCATTCCGGATCTATTTCGTGCCGATTTGAGGTAGCCGTTGCAAGTTGTGCAGGCACATGATCGACCGCATGAGTGTGCCATGTAGTGATATGACAGCAGTGGGACGCAGCCACTGCACCATGGACAAGTCTCCACGCAGCATCAGAAAGCTAGGAACAAACCGATGTAAGGATCCAAATAAAGACTACTCAAGCCATCGAATCAATGTTCTCTCGTCTTGTTCCAGCGGAGGCTGTCGGTTGCACGGAGAATCTCTTAGACGTAGACTTAGGCTTCTCTTTTGCATCCTGAGCTTGAGTAAGACATGTACCGCCCTCAAAGCAACATCATCGGTCTGCTACCCTGACGTCCCCAAAGTCTCAGCGCACCTGGTCACTGGACGCGAGCTCCTTCCTGTGCTGGCGGGCTGTAGTTTCGGGGTTTGTTGTCTTGCAGTCTCAGGAGATGAGGCTGGGGCGGGACTTCTGGACAGCAGAACTGAATCGATGTCAGATGCACTGATCTTTCCATGGACATCTAGAGCCCATCCCGATGGGTTGGCAACAGAAGCTGGAACTGACTGTACTGCCTCAAGCCAGTCCGGACTCCGACGCAAACATGACATTACGGACGACAAGGCAGATCCCAGGAGCAAGTACTTCAGCATCAGTGGACCACGGAACTTGCTGTACAGCTTGCGTACGTTCTCCTGGGCAGAGGCAGGCTGTGCTCGCGACGACAACTTGACAACGCCTCACATCAGCGAGCCCACTACACCTGTGGCACCCAGCAGCACCCAGCACCCCGCTGTCCGGAATCTCGTCGCGCACACGCGGCTCAGCCAAGCGAGGCGACTGAGCGACAAGAACGAGGCATGTCAGACATCCGTTGGAAGCAGTCTGACGCATCTAAAGAAAGGAGGGGCAAGGTTTGAGCATGCTTGCACTATCTTGCAGCACTGAGCACACAAAACGCACCACAACATTGTCCCCCAACTTATTCACGACCCGGCACCGCAGGAGTCGGCTCCTCACACGGCTCGGGCGTGGGTGTGCGGTCTTCCTCGGAAAGCAGGGGTCTCCCACCCAGCCTGAGAGATGATCTTCTAAACTCCCCTCCGTTTTCCAGCTGCAGGAGCGATCACAATGGGTGCCGTGGCAGTTCGCAAGCTCGCGGTGCTCGGTACCTTGGCTGCCGAGTGGAATGCCGCCTAACCTCAAGGAAGCTTGCGTCAGTGATCAGGATGCGCGGCATCTGTGCGATAGAATGCAGATCTTGAAAGGCTTGCCACACCGGCCTGGGCTTCGTTAGCCAAGAAGCAGAGGTCATAAGGTTCATCGAGGTGTGGCTGGCCTGTCGGGCACCCATGCCGCTGTCGGCCTGGCCAGGCCGGGGCTCGGGGCTCTGAGTTTGTACGAAACCACCAAACCCGAAACCCCGAGGGTCACCACGTCCGAGCGCGCGCACGGCTTGCGAGGGCGCGGCCGCAGCCGCGCGAGGCGCAGCTGCCGCTCCTAAAACGTCCGCAGGGTTCTTCAGGTGGCCGACATGCGAAGCTGTGAGGCATTAAGGGAAGACGATCATCCCTTCCCCGAATTTCTCACCACAATACATTTCTAAGTCACAGCCACAACCGGTTAATTCATCTTCAAGCCCTCGCTTCCTTTGTGCCAAACACCGTCCTCCTGCTTTGCGGCCTTCTCGCGCTTGACGTATTCCAAATACCTGAGGTCCGCAATCCTAGTGCGAACCAATAAAATCAAAAAAAATGTGCCACTGTCAGTAAGTATTCTTGTTCGTGTGCAGCCGAATCGGAAAAAGCGCCAACAGCCTCGACACTAAAGCACTTTCTGGCTAGCTCTGCCTGCCAAAGTGCCTTCAGGTCACACCGGTGCAACCCTTGCGAGCGGATGGGGCTCAACTACGGATAACCAATCGGGAAGAAATCTCCGGGGTGCTCTTGGATGAGTTTCATCTCTTCTTCACGCCGCAGCTGCGCATCCTCGGCAGGTGCAAGGGGCAGTCCGCCTTCCACTATCGACTCGGGAATCTGAGGTTGGCCATGATCTCTAAAGACCTAAAACTGACAGCCATAGTCCTTGATCCAATGATCCAATTTCTGCTCATTCTGATGTTAGGGCGGGGAGTAGAAGCTTCGGACCTCCAACCCATGCACTTGGCAGTGCAGTGCTGTCGCAACTTCCAAAAGGGAGGCATGCTCTCATGGACCCACCACTTCTCCACAAGTGCAAGTCGCTTGTCAAATCCAATGCAACCCGACAATCTGACAGACAGCTTCCCTCCGAAGCCCAGCTGCTCGCATTTCCTGCTGGCGCCGCCTCCGCCGGTGCAGAGCCACCCTTGGTACAACGGTCTGGCAAGCGACACTTCGAGCTACGACCTGACAAGCCAGGAAGCCCTCCCGCTTCCTCCGCCATCTTCTAATCGTCACCCGAAGAAGGAATCCCCTTTTTAAGGTGCTTGTGTCCAGGGTTTACCGGAAAAAGTTCGGCTGGATCAGCTTTTCTTGTTCGAACGACGTTCCTGATCTTCCAAACCTCCAAACCGGCCCCAGCAATGGGTCGAAAATCCCCCTGTCCTGGGGGGTCTTGAGCCAGATGCAGCAATCACACAAGCAAGTGTGAAGTCGCTGCGTGGCCTCTAGGCAATCGGAAGCCTCTAGGCAATCGGAAATAAAGCATATTGTCTGGCATTCGCAACTCACCTCGGAGAATCCTGCTTGAAAGGTGATGGCTTTGACATAATGTGCACCGATTGAAACGATGGCGGCAACTGCTGCAGTAGAATCGGACCATGTCCTCTTGAGCTTCTGGAAGAACTCATCTCCTTCGCCGTCTGCTGGCGCCGCTCCTGCCCGAGTCGCGTCCGTTATGGACTTATGTGCAAGGGGTTGTCAGGAGTATTCCACTATTCTAGATTATGGTTATGGTTGTACCAGTGGTCTGTTGAGCATGTCTTGAACCTCAAGTATGTACCAAGCGGCTGACTTGTTCAACGAGGCTGGTGGAAAAAGGAGCGCCATACGCGCTCGGACCCGTCGGAAAATGCACCCGTCTCAGCAAGATGATAACCATGACGTCGCTCGTCTCCATGAGTGCCCAAACAAGACTGCAGGCTTCGTCGGGTTTACGAACTTCACCAGGTCGTGGGGCAGGGAGAGTGTCCAGCGGATGGAAACCAAGAGGGTCTTCCACTAGACACTTCACCATGAAAACCAACAAGCATCACTCCCTTATGTGCCTCTTCAGGTTCGCTGAAGCTGTAGACTCTAGATACTGTCTGGAGACGTCCCGGCCTTGGTTCTTTGCGGCCGCCGTGCCCCCGACCTTCCTTGGAAAGGCAGGAAGTGCTCACGAGGCTTGCACAGTTGTACACACCTGTATCCCTCGTCTCAGCGCACCAACATAACATCAGCACGCTACAGGACGAGAGCTTTAGAACTTTAGGTGTGCCAAGCTCAGCGCTGCTTGTGGTCTTGCAGCTTGCGCAGCCTTGGTTAGCAGCAGAGGTGAAGTGTCCGTTGCCTCCACTCCCCACAAACTTGCTCCGACTGCTGCGCGGTGTGAGTCCATACCGAATGCTTTCGACGGGAAGATCCAAGAGCTACTCCTACTGCTACAGCTACTGCCATTGCTACTCATGCTACTCCTACTCCTACTACTACTACTACTACTACTACTACTACTACTACTACTACTACTACTACTACTACTACTACTACTACTACTACTACTCCTACTCCTACTCCTACTCCTACTCCTACTGCTACTGCTACTGCTACTGCTCCTGCTCCTGCTCCTGCTCCTGCTCCTGCTCCTGCTCCTGCTGCTGCTGCTGCTGCTACTGCCACTGCCACTGCCACTGCCAGTGCCGCCACTGCTACTGCTACTGCTACTGCTGCTCCGCTCCTCTTCCCGGTGCTGCTGCTGGACTACCACCGCTACAGCTGTTGCTACTACTACGACGACGACTACTGCCACTGACACAGCCTCTGCCAGCCACTACCGGTACCACGAATGCCATCACCACCACATCACACATCTAAGTGTCATAACAATAAAAACCATCCTTGGCCCACCGCATCTTCTGGAGGTCGTCCATGTCGGCGTGCAATCCACCCTGTTGGTCGTTCAGCAGGTTCGTGAACATCGTGAAGCCTCGAAGGGAACCCTCACAGCTGGCGGAACAGGGCGAGGCCAGGGTCTTAACCCTCATGTCTCGTAGATTCCAGGTGGGGAAGAAGATAATCGGCGGTAGCGGGAGATTGTCATATACCATCTAAAGACGTTTTGCTGCACATGACCTGGGCTGCTTCACCTAAGAGTAGCGCTTCTTTCAGGCTGCAGAACCCACAGCGTGCAGAAACTTGTCAGCGCCCTTGTCACGCGTGACACCATAGCCAAATTGAGCCGTCCACAACTTGACTCATCATAACCTAGTCTACTTGTCACTCCGCGTCGTCATTTGCGAGCTGAGTTGTGTTCCTCCGTGTTACAGTAGCTTTTTTGCTTTGCGCTGGGGTAAAAGTACTCTCTCTTGCTTGCACTCGGACAAGGAGCCGAAGCCCCGAGTACTCTCTCTCTCTCTTTCTCTCTCTCTCTCTCTCTCTCTTTCTTTCGCCAGGGCTATGGTGCAGGGGTGTTACCCCCTACACCGCGCGCTTGTGCGCCCCCGACTGTTGCGGAGGAGAAGAAAGGCAATTATCAACCACCGGCTTTCGATTGTGCAAAATAGAACTCGCAGCACTCAGCAACTGCAATCGGCAGAGCCTGTAGAATCAAGATGCCATACATGTACATACAGCTATGTTGGAAGACTAAAGACCAGCTCGCCATTAGATTGCTGATGCGGGGATTCTCCCTGTGCCTGAAGTTCATGTTTGTGTATGCCAGGTCGGTTTTGTAGGCCGGGGCTGTGGAGAAAGAAAAGCATGTTGGTGAGGGCCTCAAGTTATGGAAGCACAATCAGGAAAGAAGAGGTCAAGAGGTCGTCCTTACCAACATTCTGAAAGATGAGCGCCATTCGAATTTGCCTCAAGAGGAGGCTGGGTTTGCGGTTTCTGGAGGCTCAGCGGCCCGTCGGGATTGGTGCCACTAATGGCACAAAAGAGCTAAGGAGAGAGCGGTAGAAAAATTTCTGCAAGGAAGCCAAACATCGCAAAAGGGGGTAGCCCCTGTAACTTCGTGTGAAGTCTACTGTACCTTGCAAGCGCTCATCTGAAAAGGTCTTTTGCGCCTGAACGAGGGCATCCCCGTGATCTAGGACGAACAAGGGCAGCCAAGAATCATTGAGGGGTTTTCCCCGTTGAGGCGGTCAGAACAGGAGAAATGGTCTGGCCATTCAGCAATGAAACTAGGCCACTCAGAGCTCTCACTATTGCCCTCATTGCCACCTTCCATGCCGGCGTTCGACTTTGCGGTACTCCCTGTAGCTTCTTTTTTGGGCTTCGCGGTACTGTTTCCAGAGCTCCTCATCGGTGTCCTGGTCGCTGCGCCGCTGTACTACCCCCTGTTGAAGAAGCTCCTGAAGTCTGCGTTTTTGCTGCAAATTAAGTCGAGAAGGTTCGCCACAAGGTTCTGGAGGTGCTGCGCTCCCCGACGATATGGGGCATTTCCCCTCCTCTTCGTCGTCGTACTCGTCGTCCCCGCTATCCTGGCTCTCATTGGGGATCTCCCCTGTGGAACCTTCTCCACCATCTCTGCAGTCGCCTTTGTTCCCGTAGTCGGTGCCATCATCGAAAACGTCGACCATGGGGTGCAAGCTTTGGTGGTTCCCCGGAGGAAGATCCCATGTGGTGACGTCGTTGTCGGGCTCCTCAGCACTGCCTCGGCGTAGGTGGAGATTCGCTCCCTGCACTCCCTGTTGGCATTTGTGTGGTTCTCCTCTGCGGTCCTGGTGCACAGCGGGCTCCTCTTTGGGCTGGTAGGTGTCGGCGTCCTCTGGCGCAAGGGAGGCTGTCTCCTCGAACTGCGGCTCCTTGTTGGGCTGGTAGAAGTCGGCGTCGCTGGGTACAAGCGGGCCAACTCCCTCGGACTGCTGCTCTTCGTGAGGCTGGTGAAGGTTGGCGTCCGCGGTGTCGTCGGTCACACGTCTCTGCATCGCTTCCTGGACTGCCCTCCCGTCGTTCGTGTGCTGCTTGTCCGTGGCTTCCAGGCTGGGGTTGCCCCCATGTGACGAAGTTGTTGCCGTCCTTTGTCGTTTTGGCCACTGAACACCTGCCTTGGCTTCCGTCGGCATCTCCTCCCATGGTACTGCTCGAGGTGCTCCAGCAAGTAGTGGGTTCACCCCCTTTAGTTCGCCTTGTGTAGAGCTCGCTGACCTTGGTTGTTGAGGCGGGACCAGCTCCGCCGGCGGGCTCGCCATATCGCGAACGTGGGTTGGCCTCAAAGTTACTCGCGTCGTGGCCAGGTCGTTGTCTGAGGGGGAAGTGTCCCCGTAGAACACGTCGTGAAAAGGCTCCTGCTGGTCTCTCTCTCTCTCTCTCTCTCTCTCTCTCTCTCTCTCTCTCTCAAGCACCGTCAGAAGAAATACACACGTTTTGTGTATGTGTCTGTCTATCTATGTATCTATGTAACGTCTATGTATAATCGAATGCAGTGCTGGGTCAGGCTCCCAAACCTGTCGAATTGCTCTAGGCAGGACGCACATCCACCAGCGTGGCTGTGTTGACCACGTCGTTTGACGCGGATGCACGCACTGCAGACTGCACGGAGGTGTGCGGCTGAATCCTGGGATCCTGGTCAGAGACTCTGTTTCATGGCCACAGTATTCTGATGCTCCGTGCCTGGTGAAGCTCATATAGAGAGACATTGACACCCACTTCGCAACTACAGAAACGGCTTCCCAAGCCAGTCTGCACGCCGTGCTTGTGCAAACCTGGAACCTGGAATCCGAAAAAGTCGAGCCACGACTGCCAGAAGAAACCACACATGGGCTTGGGTCTCAGTGAACCCACAACATTACCAAAATCTTAAAGTGCCTTCCGAGATCTGAAAATCTGTAAGAGGCACTTCTGAATCGGGTAGTCAGATGGTCATCATTACCTGTGCTGGAGCTTGCTCTCTTGCGAGTTGGCTCCAGCGTGTCTCCTTGCCTTCAGGGTCGTAGACCGCATAGATGTCGTAATAGAAGGTAGGAGTCTGATTGCAGTTTCCTTGGAAGCGTTCCCAATGGTCGCCCTTGATGGAGGAGTCGGCTTGAACCATGAAGTTTCGTGTCAGACAGGCCGGGATTTCAAACCAAGGTGGGATGCAGGGGCAGCAGCAACAGCAGAAGACTCCGAGATTGCCTCGCGGGATGATGTCGGCACGTTGGAAGTCTTCGGAGAAGCGGAACTCATAGGTAGCATTGCCCACTCGCGCCAGCCACATCAGAAAGCACCAGATGGGATCTCCAGCCGGCTCGGTCCACGACCCCGTGTACCAGGGCTGCTTGAAGCCACCAAAGCCTGTGGCAGTCAAAGTTCGTGTCTCGGCATCAAATTTTCCCCAACGGAGTATTTCCAGAGTTCCCGCGGTCAAATGCGATCCGGCCTGCAGTGTCACGCCCGCGAGGTTGCGGATCGCTTCAATGTCCTCAATGCCAGAAGACGGCCTGGGAATCGGCTCGGTCTGGCACCAGCAGAGGCGTCCAAGCAAGGAAGGGCCGTCAGGATCGGTGCTCTCGGAAAGGAGCTGAAGGATCGCGGAGTCTCGGTCGTAGGTCTTGAGGCAGCAACACGACGTCAGCGCAGTCGGGCAGCAGCCAGCACATGGCGACATGTCAGGAGTGGCAGAGATACTTCGCCCTCTGCCGCTTCTTCCACTGCAGCAGCTGTCTCAGAAACAACAGAATGTGCGTAATGGCCTAAAGACAACATGGCGATGATGATCTAAGGTCGCGTTCCTGCCAATGCGGAAACAGTTCGAGAATGGCTACGACGGCTGGTGCCGGTCTCCGATTCAGGCTCAGGGTGTACGGTTTGGGGAGTGGTGAGCATCCTCGAGGAACTGATTCCGGACTTGTTGACCCGAGGTCAAGACCAAGAGCACCACGAAGGACCAACGGCAGTACGTGTAACAGTGCAACAGCTCTTACGGACGCTGAGGCTTCCACTGATTCCTCTGTTAGGGTTCGCACGATGCTCCTGTGGCCAAAACAGTCCCAGTCTCAGCTTCTTGTGCATTGAGGGGAAAAGTCAAAAAACACTGCCCCTAACTGCTGGAAAGAAAGGACACCGGGGTGAAGCAGAGAGCTCCTCGCACAGCTTCTTGAATTCCTCGGCCCACTTCTCACTGTCCCCTTTGAAGCCGTAGAAGTTTGCCTCAGCTCTTGCATGCTTCGGGCTTCTCACTGGACAGCTCCAGGGAGCAACATCCGTCTGAAAGCTTCGTCTTGCCCTGTTCCGCTCACTCGTTGAGTCCAGGCTGCGATATTGCGGAACTCACCCTCACTGAGCCAATCATCGCCGTTAAGATCGCAAGCACGGAAGACTGCATGGAGCAGCTCTTTGCGGGCTTTGGAGTCCTGGGTCAGGTGGTGCGAGTGCTGGTCTGCAGCATGATATGCACTTTTTTCCGGTTTTCCATATACATAGACACAAGGATATGTCCAAGCATAGGAACTGGAAGGCTCGAGTTGGAATATACAAACTTATTGTGCTCATATGCTTGCATGTGCACGTATGTGCCTGCAAGTGTAAAAAACTGCACGTATACTTATATAAATACCTACCTCCCTCCCTGCCTGCCTACATAAACATACACATACACATATACATGTACACATTCATACATACCAACATACCAACATATCAAAACACATGCATACATTCATACATTCTTATATACATACATACATGCATACACATTACATACACACACATGCATACACACACATACACATGCATACACACACATACACATACACACACATACACAGACATACACATACATACACATACACATACACAGACATACGCATACATACACAGACATACATGCATACATATCTGTAGATACAAATACATACATACACATGTGAAAACAGTGTATGTGTATATGCATGTGTATGTGCCTGCATACATGTATGCATCTGTATATGTGTTGGTTTATGGCGTGCGTGGGTGTGCATTGATGGATGGAAGGATTGATGATGACTGATGATGAATGATGGATGCACGGATGGATGGATGGACGGATGGACCGACGACTGATGCTTGTGCGTGCGTGTACGTTCGCATATGTATGTTCACGTGTATACATGTATATGTATATGCTAACAAACCTGCCATTTATGTGATGCTTGAAGGTACAATACGAATCCGAATCGTGTCAATGGGCTCAGCTGGACTAATCCCGTTCATTTGCCGTTACACTTCAAAGAGTCCTCAGGCACGGGGTGGGGGGGCCATCTAGCGAATTCACAATACGCGCAGAACCTTCCCACATCTCTTCTTGCACGGTCGGGGATGGAAGCCGACAGTGCGGAGCCAATCACCTTCAAAACTCGGTGCTCCTTGTCGTCAGAAGTCGAGGGGCCTTCAGACACACAGGAGGGAGGTTCATGTACAAATGCACTTACTCACTTCATCGATGTGCGCAGGACGCCTGTGGAGTGCGACGGCGCCGGTTTTGCCCGAATGGGGCCTGACTCCTCCCACGCATCCACGCCTTAGTAGCGGGTTTTTGAAGTTTTGCATTGCGTGAAATGCATCCCCTCTCTCACCAAAACCTGGCTGAAGCCTCCCTACCAAATCTCTGAGCTCACGGCTGTGCCTGCGGCGCTCGATTGCAGAGGCTTCGAATCGTTTCTCCACCGGTTTGGAGTCGGCTTGTGGGCGGGGCGGGGGCGCAGGGCGGTTTCCTGAGCCGGGCGGGACATACTTTTCTCCGGCGCTTCCTTTGCGCTCCAGCGCCGGGCCTGGGCCGCCTGGGCCGGCCTTGTCTCGGTCACGGGTGTCTCGGCCGGGGCCCGGGGGCCCATCACGCGTGACATCCCGCGAAGGCTGGGACTCGGGTGCCTCACGGGCTGGCTCGGGTTGCACCTCACGAGACTCGCGACGCGGCACCTCAGGCGCAGGTCGCTCTTGCGACGGTATTGTGTCTGGAGGCACCACCGGGCGTCCGACAGCCTTGGGCTGGAATGCTTGAGGCTGCACCGCTGGGGCTTGCGGGGCTTGGGGGGATTGTGGGGGTTGTGGGGCGGCAGCTGGAGGTTGTGGAGCTTGCGGAGCTTGTGGTGCTTGCGGGGCTTGAGGTTGCATTTGTGCGGGAAAACGTTGCTGTTGTTGCATTTGGTGAAGGTCCTGGCGAGGCAGTCCCCAGTCCGGAGGCGACGGGGCCATTGGCGGAGCGATCGCCCCTCCAATGGTTCCTGCACCGATGGGCCCGGCACCAATAGCTCCCGCACCGATGGCCTCGCAATCCACAAGAACAAAAGCGGCGGTAGAAAGGGTCGGCTTTGACCGTGCCTGGCAGCCGCACGGCTGGCGGCCACCTACAGGCTGTGGTGCCAAACCTGTGTAGGCAGCATCGCACAGGCAAAGCGCAGAGCCGCAGAGCCAAGCAGCAAACACAGGATGTGACAATCCGAGCTGTCCGAGCGCCCAGCCGCGGTTGGGCACTGGCCCCATGCTTGGGCCCAGTTGCCCCAGCCCGAAGCTCACACCCGGCAGCGGGGGCCTCGGTTGCCAGCATGTCGGGGCCATCAGTACCGAAAGCAAGGCATGGCCGAAACTTCAAACCATGAAAGTTCTGCCACGCAACGCTCCAGATGGTGGCATGGGCGGAGGCTCCGTGGGAGGTGCTGGGCGACTGTAGGCGGAGGTGACCAAGCCTGGCAGGCAAACGATGCAAACCCAGAATCGAAAAGTGCACACTTCAAATCGACCGGCCAACATCTGATGTCCAGCAAGCTTTTCTTCTCTTTTCTTCTCTTCTCCGACGAAATGGTTGCTCCGGCTAGGTTCCCCGAGTTGGTGTGTGCAGGCTTTTCAAGCAAATAACAACAGGCTCCGTGCATCCATGGCACCACCCACAAGCCCATCAACACCGCACAACAGCCTGTACAGGGCAAGTCGGCCTGCTGTCCGCATAACTGTTGTTTTTCCTTTATATTAAGGCCCATCCCGCTCATCAGTTAGTGAGTGCGTCACTGAACACCGACCACAAGTGAATGAGTTCTGGCGTGCCGCAATCTCAGAAGCAAGGCCACTTTCAGCAAGAGCGGCTACATGATGTCAGGCCATGGGCCGAGGCTTGAAAATTGAGGAACCATCAACACCAACTGCGCAACAGTCCAAGACCTGCAAAGCAGACTCACCTTGGGGGTGAGGAGGGAGCCTGTGCATTATAGCTCCGTATAGTAGAAGGACCTCTGTCTGCTTGGACTGCTGCAACTAGTGACACCGGGCTTCTGCGGTGTCTGTGGGCCCGGAAGCAAGCCTTAAGAACAGCTGCCTCCAAGCCCCACTGTGTCCATGCTAGGGGTACATGCTCGGCGGCGAGCTTCACTGTTTGGACTGCAGATGGTCTACACAAATGTAGATCGTTCATGTCATGGACAAGAGATCAGCACACGATACAGATCGAAACACGAGACATTGGATGGGCACGGATGACAATACCACCACAAAGGAAGGCTGAGACCAGACCATAGCCCTATGCGGCGAGTTTCAGAGGTGAGGCAAATTTGAATGGCAAGGGATGATGTCCCGAGAATTGGCACCATGTTTGCAACACTTCGGTGCTTCCCGAGACAAGGTACAACATGGTACTGTACAACAAGCACCGTCACCACAATGTAAGACAAGTGAAGTGTGTTAGACAGTGGTCATCGCCCAGTAAAGCCTTGCCCACGGAGCGGTTGTGAAATTACCACGGCATCTAACGGTACCTGAAGACAGAAAGCCCTACAGCGGTCTCGCAGCAGCGGTGGTCATCACGTCCTCGTCCGCCAGATTCACCTCATCCAGATATGCGGGCACTTGCCGGATCTGGCTGCACCATGCTCAGAGCGGTTGCATCGCCACATGCGGTGGCTTCGTGACAGCACCAACCTGTCCAGGCCACCCGTGTGATGGCAAAGAAATGGCCATCGTCCATAGCAGTGCCAGTGCCAGTGCTGAAGAGCCGCGCCTGTCTTGGTTGGACGCTTTGGAGAAGAATACTGATAGCACATGGTGGGATTAAAGAAGTCGTCTTCGTCGTCGCACTCGCAAACCGACACTCGTACAGTAACAACAGGTGACGAAGAAGCGGCAGGGAATGCTGGATGATCGAATACAAAGAGCAGCCCACTGCCTCGATTTGACGTTTCTCCTGAGTCTCGCGATGCGGAAGGCACTGCGATCTGCCCAACCTCAGGCCTCAGGCCCTGTGCTCTCACGCCAAGCTTCAATGAGCATGTCTTCGATCTTTCTGGCACGTCCTCTTCGGAACCTGGGTGCTTCGGTGTGGTGGTTTACTTTGAGGCAGTGACGAGCTCCAAGTGTCAGATTCTGGGTTGGATACGCCCGAGGCACTGTCCTCTGAGGCCGTGACTCAATGCGGGCCTGCCCAAGTCCAGCTGCAGCTGCAGTGGAATGATCGAATAACGGCGAAGGCGGAAGCTCAACATCTGAAACCTTCCCTGGCACTTGACTCTGCGCCTTGCACTCGGCATCCCACTTGTTGGCCTCTGCCTGGAGGTCGAGTACCTGGCACTCAGAAGTCTCCAGACTTCACAATGAAGAAAATCTGCAACCTGAACACCCACAGCCTCTTGGCGATGCTCCGGGCAGCGAGGGCAGCTACTGGCTGAGATGTCATCCACGCCTCGCATAAAAGAGTTGCAGGCTTTATGACTCAATGCGCGAAGGTGCATGAACTGTCTGACAGCTGATGCACTGCATAAACATGACACATGCTGCGTTCCAAGTTTAACCCGAAACGCCTCCAGTGTAGCCTGATGGTGGCAGGGGCTCGGCCTTCATGCGCGACAACACTGTCGCACGAGCTCCCAGCCGGTTATAGCCTAGACATCGTGAAACGAAAGACCTGTCGCGCGCACCTCCAGCTGTTGGCGCAACTCCGGATAAAGCCGCGGCGGGATGGTGGTCTGAACAGCAGCAACCTGCCATGGGGCAATGGACCCCCCTCTTGAAGTGTGTGGAGAATCGGGCCTCTGACTTGAGACGTTTGATTTCGCTGCGGAGCCAGACACAATGATGCCGGCGGAGGTCGCAGAAAGGACAATCTTCATAGTCAAACTTGTCCTCGGACGGGGACACCCACACTCCTACAGTAGCCGTGCTTGCCTAAAGCCTGCCAGTGGCACCGCCATCTCAAGGCTGCTTAGGCCGCGAAAACTTGAAGGCCAGTGGTGTCGAGCAAGTGGCTGCCTGTGCCAAAGCCCAGGGCGGTCGAATCTCTTCTTTGCTCAGCGATGGTATCCTCGACTCAGCCGAACATTCAGCACTGCCAATGACAAACTTGAACCCTTCTGTATGCGATCAGAAATCTGTGTACAGCTTGAAACGGCGTCCGCCACGGACTCCACGGAGCCCATTGCGAGGTTTGATCCTCTCAGCACATGCGACCACGAAACAACTCTTAATCTTATGCAGTGACCTTTGGAGGCATGTGGCTCCTGCTGTCCTAAGCTGGCTCAGCAGGCCGGAAACGCTGCACCATGAGGCTGAGAGCGTTGTTTCAGTAAACCTCTCCAGTCGAGAATTCGGATACCTCGAGAAGTTGCATGCGTGAGGTAAGAACGTAGCAAAACACAGAGCTGACTCGCGTGCTTTCAACTGCAGTCTCATCTTGCATGAACCGAAGACTTGGCCGCGGGTTGGTGCAAATATTGTGTCAAGACATGTCAGGCGGCGTATACATTGAATCCAACTGCTGAGTCAAGCCCGTGTTCGAACGCTGCTCTGTCAGAATGCGGGGCAAGCCATAGACAAAACAGCCAACTCTTGCCACGACCCAGCCTGGAGGACCACGGGAGAGTGTTGCCACGGCCTCCTCACGCGAAACAACTACAACAAGAGTTCCATCTGCCATGGCACTTGCTGTAACAGCTCGCTGCACGTCACGCCGACCTATGCCGACCTCAGATTACCGCATTACCCCCTATGGCCCTATACTTACATCCTCGTGGTGCAGATGCGGGTTCAGGTCCGGCGTCTGGTGGAGCCCACCCCAGCTGGTCTGGCAAAGGCAAAGCACCGTTGGCAGCAGTGTTCAAGACGTTCCAGAGTTTGACATCAACAGATCTCTCATTCATGAGCTGAAAAATCCCTGTCCGAGCGCACCCCCGGGATGAACGGCGGCGCATTCGGATTCGGATCCGACATCTTTCTGGAGAGCTTGCCTGGAATGAGTGGCAGGAAGGATTGCATGGCTCGCAAGTCTTCGCGCAATCAGCCTGAGGACAGCGCGAGACACTGGCCTGGCTTCGGACGTGGAAAGCAGTTGCCCACAAGCTGTTGTGGTGGACAACCCAGTCGAAAGAGAGGGCAGCGAAACACGTGCTGTTGTTGGTGGACTGTGATGGACTGCGGGTGTGGCTTTGGCTGGCGTGGGCTGCGTGAGGGCTGGCTGCGGACGTGATAGTGTAAGAAGACTGTGCGCTCGTGCTGCTAGTCATGCTCCAATGCTACTACATGTTGAATACAGTAATCTGGACTATGACTGTTTCCAATCCACTGTGTCAGGCTAGCTTGGGCTGCTCCAGGAGAGTAGGAGGGCGTAGGCTCGTAGACGTGTGCACCTAGGCGTGTGTGCGTGAGTGTGAGTGTGCAGCTGCGTGAAGTGACTGTTGTGGTTGGCTGGGCGGCTGCTGGCAGGACTGTCCCTTGTCCTCGCGTGACTACCAACCCTCGCATGGCTGCGGAATCATTCATCCACCTTCCAAGTGCAAAGCGAAGAGATCGTCACATGATATTGATCACACCGCACACGACCATTCCACCATATTCTACCACGTGACACCCCTCATTGGAAAAAGCATCTGACCTTCGGAAAAGCGGCAACGATAAGTCTGAAGCCAGTCAGTCTGGAACAAACAACCAGCCATCTCAATTGCTCTGCTTTAGTTTCAGGCATCAGGGATTATGCAGGTTACTAAGGTTCAATCGGAAGCTCCAGCCGGTGCAAACCTATGGCCTATGAAAGTTAAACAAGCCCCCGAACACAACTTTGGCCGGCACGAAACAACCGACACCATCACGGGTTGCATTCGGTTGCCATTTGCACAATTAACACGCGAATAGTTATTAGCATGTAGGAGCCTGGAGGGAAAGCGATGGATGTTGGGGCAAGCCTCTCCGCTACGTACGAGAAAGTTGCTCGTTGCCCTGCACAACATCTGTCGAGATCAGGACGCACCAGAAAACAACCAAACTCGCGTGGTTTGCCTCTCTTCCTTCACTTGCTTCTAGCACACTTTGCACAACCGAAAGCAACGCCTGAAGTTGGGATGGAATTTTTTTTTCACGCACCTTTTTACGTCCGCCTAATTCGCAAGTCCAAGTCCCCGTGCAACCTGCGCGCTACCGGCCGAGGCGGCTGGGGCTGGGAGGGACTGCATCGTGCAGTACGTCCTCGAGTGGCGGGTGCTGCGCGCCAGGCATGGCGCCAGCGATGTACGGCGCTCCGAGCAGCGTGGCAGCAAGTGTGCTTTGCAAAGCCACGCTCAAGAGGCCCCACCAGCGGCGCAGCCAGCCCTGCCTAGCTGCAGGGCGCAGGGCGGCAGGAGCGCGCTGGGCTCGGAGTCGCACGAGTTGGGTGACCAGACGTAGGGATTCAGCGCTCCAGCGTCCCCCAGCTTCGCAGGCAAGGACACAAAGACGCTGCGGCCCGGGTCGCAGCAGCTCAGGGTAGGCCACACGTTTGCGCCGCTCTGCGACGACGATGGCAGCGCCGTCGCGCGTGGCAGCAGAAGGATGGGCCCGTCCCTCACGCGTCAGAGGGGACACGAGTGTAACGTCGCAACACAACGCCTCGCCAAGTGGAGTAGCCCCGTAGACGACAAGGTCGAGGCGGCGGCGATCGGCTGGGTCAACGTCAGGGGCGGACGTGCGCGCCAGCCACTGCTGGGGCACTACCTGGCCGTCTGGTCCAACAGCTTCGCGCGCGATGCGCACCCAAGCATGCTCCAGGGGCTTGGCTCGGCGGGCGAGCAAGCCGGTACGCGGGCACGCGGCGTGATGATCGCCGTAAGCGTCTACAGCGGCGCCACAACCGTGCCCGTGTGTGCCACATCTGTGTGGAGCGACCGGCAAGGGCAACCGCAGCCGCCGCCGCAGTGCTATGAGCATACGGTCCGGTGGCAGAGCGGAGCCAGCCTCGCTCGGTATGGTACTGAGCCACACAGCCGCGTGCAGCCCGGACTGCGAACGCAGCATGGCCTGGGCAGGGGGTAGCAGGGTAGGCAGCAGCTCGGTCTCGCGAAAGTGGGTAGAGCAGGCGCGGGAACCGTGGTGCTGCCAGCCCTGGCACCTCTCGCCAGGCTCAGGAAGGTCGCATTGTGCGGGGCGCAGGCCGTTGTGTACATCGTGCCAAGATGGGCGGCCCTGCCATCCGGCACTTTCGAGCACGCGGCCAGCGTCGTCGGCAGCACGCAGGCAGGCGGCAGCAGCAGCTGGACCTGCAGCGAGTTCTGCGAGGCACCTTGCTGCTGCATCGGGGCGGCGCGCGCGCAAGACGGCAGTGCGTCGGCCCAGGCGGCCCAGTAAGCTGCAGAGGCGGTACCCTCGGCGCACTGAAGGCCCAGGCCGCCCAAACGGGCCGGCAGCATGGCGAGCCGACGTGCCGCAGCAACCTCGGGATCAGCGTCGTCTTGTTCGCCCAGCAGCGCGAGCAGGCATCGCCAGACGGCATCGTCGTGGCCACGCGCATAGCCGGCGGAGAGGTCGGGCGGAAGTGTGCGCAAGAGGTGGTCAGCACGCGGCGGGCTAGGAGGAGCCATGCGCACTGGAGGTCGGGCAGCAGGGGGAGTTCCTGCAGCAGCCTCGCCTCCTCGAGCAGACGAGCACTGGTGTGGGCGGCGACAAACCGTGGGTGCCCGAGCGGGGTGCCCAGGGCAACAAACCCACGCTCCTCCTCCGGTGCGTCGCCACGCCAAACGTTCGTGCCGAGGTCGGCGATGCCAGGCGGAGCCGGCCCTCCATCACGGTTGTACACCCGGGTTTTGCCGAGGTTTGCGGCGACGCCCGCCCGGGTCTCGATGGAGGAAGTGACAACGTCAAGCGCCTCGCGCGCTCTGGCCGGTGTCGTGACGACGTAGACGTCGTCGAGGAAGGCCGCGAGGCACTCGCCGGGGCGCAGCTGCGCGTCTGCGGCGACGAGGGCGTCGTGTTGGCCAAGGGCGTACAGCGCAGGTGCCAGGGCGTCCCCCTGTTCGCACCCTTCTCCCTGATGGATGGTTCGCCGCCGCCCATCGGCGTCCCACCAAAAGTACGTGGACTGCTGTCCGTACCAGAGGCGCGCAAACGGGAGGAGTGCGGGGGCAACGGCGTGCAGCTTGCTGAGGAACGCGGTGCGCGAGATCGTGTCATAGGCGCTGCGGCCATCAAGTGACACGACGGCACGACGGTGGCCGCAGAGTCGAGATCGACAGCGGCGCGAACCATTCCTGCAAGTGCGTCGGTGCCAGCCCTGGTTTGTAAGGCAAACTGGTACGGTCGGGTGGCCTCGTCGAATGTGGCAGCAAATTTGCGCAGGCAGGGATTAGCCTTCCGTGGCTTGCGCGGTGGGTCAGGGCGCGAAAACTTGAAACGCTTGGTCGTCCTGCGCCAACATCATCCTTCATGGCTGAGTCAGCAAAGCCATCGCTGAGCAGCGACGCTGTTCATCAACATTGGTGATGTGTAAGAGCAACGGTGAACCCAAACGGGTGGCCAAGTGCGGATTGCAGCGAGCGGTGGCCTGAGCAGGAGCCACAGCACAGCCGCCCAAACATGCTGTGTCAAGGCCAAACGTTGCAGTCCACGAAGAAACCTTGTACTCGGGTCGCACGGATTGTTCAGTTTCGATTGCGAGAACCTGCCTCCCGATTGTGGCTCGCACTGAGCTAAGTTGCGAAAGTGGCCGACGGACCTCAACAGGGAGACTTTGTCAGTTGACACGGTGGAGTGGGCTGGGGATGGCATAATGTAATTCCATGGCGCACGGTTGATGGGCCCTATCCAGTTTGCGGTGCAGTGCTGCTTGGACATTTGCCCCACCCGCTGGTGGCACAAACAAGGCAGCGCAAATCTTGCGGCACATCCATCCAATTGAGCATGGCGCAAACAGCTTGGATGATTAACGGCAGTTTGTTTTTTCCACCGTGCGAGGTGGCTGTCCCACAACGCTTCTGGGGGCAGGCTTTTTTTTGTCACTCGTGCTCGACAAGGCTTACTACCTGCATTTACTCCTACGCGCTCGAGACCGCTATGCGCACAGCGGCCAACGTGGGGGTCCGGCCAGCTCGAGCAGTCGCTCGAGGGGCGGCTCGTCCCTTTGGCACGGGTGGAGCACAAAGCCTGCCCAGTGCCGTGCCGGGATAAGTGCGAAAACACGTGAGCCTGCACGGAATGCTGGCGACGGCATGGTGTACCACCGAGCAGTGCGTTCGACGAGGGATACAGGAGTATGGTGCCACCTGTGCCTGAGTAGGGTGAGCCACTCCCCTGAGGCATGCGAACTGTCCACACCTGCAACACAATTGAAAGGTTGGTCTATTTGGCTTGAGTACCGCACAGAAGGGGGGGTGAGTTGCTCCCCCGTCTTACCAGAAGCGGTCCTTTCCAGCCTCAGTGCTAGGTTCTGTACAGTGAAGTAGCCCCCTTTTTTAGCACTCTCAGTTTTCTACCACTGAAATACTCGTGGTCCCAGTGTTGCTGTCTCAGTTTCACCCCGTACTTCCGGTTGAACTCTGCTCCCGAAGGGGGCTACAGCCCGCGACATGTGCTCCTTCGGAGGACCATTTCGCCGTCACCATCGCACTCGCCAAGTCGTGCTCTGCAACTTCCGGCAGTCAAGGCTGTCAGGCACGTCATGTCAGGGATTGGGATCATTTCAAGCACTGGCAACGTCAGAATATTGAAGCATGGGCCGCTCGTGTATCTGATCAATTGGCCATGGCCTACTGGCCACCAGAGCTGAATGCAAAGAAGTGTTGAATTGTCTGTACAATCATTTGTTGGATATTGTTTGGAATACACATCCCTCCCTGTATGGCCACCCCTGACCAAACTCGGGACCACAACCTTCTTGGTGGACTGACGCTCGTTGTGATGCGCTCGTTCAATGCAACGCTGCTTGCTTTGCTTTTGCTTTGCGCCCGTTCGAGTCCAAGACTACGGTCCTAAAAGGACATGGGGAATGTCAGGAAAAGCATATGCACGCCTAAGATATGAACAAGCTTTGCAACGTGCGCCATTCGGGCAACGATGCAGCACAATCGATCCAACTATTTCGGTCAAGGTGAGTCGCAGCGAACATGTTTAAGTCATCATCCCAGCGCGTAGCGGGACGACCAGGCTTTCGGCTCGGCTTTTCACTGAAATTATGCCACCATTTTTCTGTTGGTAACCATTTCGTGGTATAAAAGTGCCATCCGAGTTGACCCGCAAGTCGCGAAGCCAGTGTGAATTTACAACTTCGCAGCTGTTTTGTCCAATTGGGTATTGGGTGTTGGCATAAAGCGTAAGAGACCCGAGAGTTCATCCTTCTCATCGTGACCACCCACTCCTCATCGTCCACACGTCGCCAACCAACTATGGACCGCAGCATACGACGTTGAACAACATCAAGGTCAGTAAACTGTTTGTCAGTACGCGGCAAAGTTGATAGTCCATACAGTACCGCCGGAGTCACAACTGCTTGAAACAGCTTCAACCTGTTCTTCAATGAGACATGTTTGTTCAGCAAGCTCTGCCGATGTAAATGAAACTTGTGCAACCCGAATACGGTGTGAGTATTCCACGGCTGCACGCTCACGGAGATTGCCACACAATAAACGTCCGAGGTAAGGATGTTGATCTTTACCGTGCAAAACCGCAATCATGTCTCCATGCACATCCAAGTACATTGGCGATGCCAGCTCCGTTGTCGTCAAAATTTTTGTTTTCTTCGGATTGAGTTGCAAACCGACTTTCAGAAGCTCTTCCGACAACACTTCCAACATGTAGGCCAATTCAGATGACGATTTGCTGTAAATCATCAAGTCGTCTGCAAAGCGAATGTTCGTCAAACGTTCGGTGTGACCCACGTGAATACCACAGTCACGGATGCGGGATTTCCAAGATTGTATCGCTGCTTCAAGCCCAGCGTTGAAAAGCAAAGGGCTCAAAACATCACCTTGTTTGACTCCACGCGCGATGCGAAATCTGCGGCTGCCATGAACAGATCCTGTCTGACCCAAGTACAATGCCTTCAATAGCTGTATGTACGAAGATTCCACACCCTGTTTCGCAAGTGCAGCAAACAATGCGTTGTGTTCCATGCGATCAAAAGCCTTCGTAAGATCTAAGCTTGCAAACCACAAGTTGCATTTCCACTCAACTGATTTGCCACATATGGTGTCAAACACTGCAAAAGCATGATCAGTCCCGCGATGCGGACGAAAACCCACTTGGTCGGGTGACTGGTAACTTTCCAGCAGCGGTTGCAATCGCGAGCACAACATCTTCGAGAAAATTTTGTAAGTCACTTTCAATATCGCAATCGGGCGCCAATTCGAAGCCACTGAAGCATCACCAGTCTTCGGGAGCATGCTGAAAGCGGTATGGCACCACTTCGGATCCCAAACGTGTTCATGTAGCATATGGTTGTACATGCTGAGTAAGCACTGATGTAACATCCCGCCGGCATGAATAAACATTTCCAAGACCAAGCCATCGCCGTCTGCAAACTTACCATTCCGAAGCTGTTTCAAAGCCAACTGGAGTTCAGCATCGTCGAATGCATGAATCTTGTCAACACACGACTGCGGGCAAGTAAAAGGCAATGACGCGTGACTGTCATCCTCAGTCGAAAAGATGTTCTCCAAAAAATCGGCGAAGTTCATCCGGGGAAGGTTGCGTCGAACAACTGTGTCGTTTTATGTTATCATCTTGAACAGCATGAAGACGATTTAGGCTGGAAAATTCGCTCAGGATCTCGTTCAACTTCTCATTACGTCGTAGACGCATATGGCGACGCAAATGTTTTCGAATAAGCTTGGAAAGATGTGCCCGCTCCACGGCACATCTGCATTGCCGTCGTTGTTGAAGTAGGCCACGAAAATTTTCACGTTCCCAAGGCTTCTTTGCATCAGTGGATCGTTGGGTGCAACTTTCTGCCTGTTCTGCACAACGTTTAACACCATCTTCAAGCTCCGAAAGCGTCTGTGGCTTTGATTTTCGCAACCAGTCAACGAGCAATGATTCGTACAGAGTCTTTGTTGGGGCAGTCGGGTGCCATCCGCGTCGACAACGTTGACGCGCAACACGTGGTTTTCGACATATTTCAACCTCAATGCATCCATGCACTGCCCTGTGATCGGAACCTAAATCGAAATGGCAAGATGTACAAGCTGATCGCGCACTCAACGAAACATGACATAGCAAAAAGTCAATACGCCTCCTGATGCCCATGCTGCTTTCGAATGTCCATGCCTCTTCAACACTGCAACGCCATAGGCTAGACACATCTGTTCAAGCAGATCGCCACGTGTTCCAATGCCCAGTTGTGTATTGAAATCTCCCCCAACCATGTACGCAAAACCGCGCCGACGAGCATCCTCAAGAACAAACTGAAGCTGTTCGTACATGCGTCGCAGATCGTCGATCGGATATCCAGCGTGGGGCATGTATACTGACACAAACCGGATAATGCGCGCACCGTTCTTCAGGTCCAAATACATCAAGCGGTCATCGAGTACACGAACTTGTTGCACATAAGCTTTATGTTTGGAGTGTAACGCAATTGCAACACTTGCACAAGTTGTGGCCCTGCGTGAACCATACAGTAAATGACCTCCGTCCAATGTTAATTTGTCGATGTTGGCCCTAGTCTCGCTGAAAAGGACCACATCCCACATGCATTGCTGCATCTCACCCAATAACTCCAAAAGTTTTGCGTTTGAATGAAGTCTTGCATTTTTACAATAAATGTGCATATGCGCCTGATTTGAATTCACTTGCACTGATTCATCGCCATGTCTTGCTTTCGTCGACTTAACCACGTGAACAGGTTGACCCGTCGTGAGCGACCGAGAATTTGCACCAGCTGAAAATTCAAGCATTGCGCGAGATGAAAATGCAGGTGCGTGTTCCGAAAATGGACTCGAACGGAGATGTCCCTAGGCATTGCCACGACCGCCTTTGCTCTTGCCCTTGCCCTTGCTTGTGATGTCCTTCTGCAGCATCTCATTTGCTCGAGTGATCAATTGACGAAGTTCCGAAGAATTCAACGCTGCTTGGCGAGCTAGAAACCGTGACCGCTGCGATGACACAAGTGCCGCATTCCGCATCCGCCTTCGTCGTGTTTGGACGTCCACTTCCATGTTGGTGAGCATGTCCTCCCACGTGTCAGCACGTACACTTATTTAGGGATCACTCTCCATGAACGCTTGGGGTGTGGATGCAACACATCGATGAACTTTTATGCCGGGGTGAGCGTAGACTTGCTGCCTGTGTTTCATGGACACAGTCAACCACTTTACCACTTTTCTTCGTGGAGCGCATTTTCCATTCTTACGTGCGACCGTCTGCTTGTTTCGGGTTGGAGTTTGTACCGCAAGGTGCTCAAATTCGCCGGTTTCACGCTCGCTTAATAAAATAGGGTCGACGGTTGCTTACTTGGCCGCATGGCAGCCTTCGTGTTGCTGTCCAGGGCCAACTTGGTTGGCACGAGGCGGACACCTTGCGCCTCTCTCAAGCAACAGGCCTTTGCGCACGTTTACTCTGCCTTCCTCCTCATTGCTTGGCCGGGCAGCTCGCGCAATTTGCATTGAACCAGCCTGTATCGTGGTTCCGTGAAGTATTGGGCGCTCTTTGCTCGGAGTCACGCCTCCGCATGCTTACGGCATCCACTTTGGTAGCCCTGCAACTTCGATCAAGCCCTGGCTCCGCACCGTGAAAACGTCGCCATTATGCTTCTTTGCTGCAAGAATGCAACTCCTTCCAGCAGTATGCCTGTCGGCAACCCAGGCCCGCCTTGCACAGCGCTGTCTGTGGACCCTGCAGTTGCAACACATCGAGCGCGATATTGGGAACTGGCACGTTGTGGCCTTGATCAATTGCCCTTGCCGTTTCTATGCCCGCAGCGTTGACTCTTTGGCGCATGCTTTCTTTGACTCCCCGGCACATTTTTTTTGCGACAAAGGTGGGCCAGCCGGTCTCGACATGCATTATCTTTGCACGTCTTATTCTCCACAGATGGAAATGTTAACACATTCCGTGACATCAGGAACAACATTGATTTCGTTGCGGATGTGTGCATAGCCGCCGAAGCATGTGGGATGTGACAGCATATTTCTAAGCGCGAAATGTTTTAATTCGATTTGTACATACCGGTTCCGCTGATATGATGTGCAACATGCTTGGTTCCGGACTCAGTGATTTGGTGTTAATGTGTTGTTCATAGCATGCTTGGTTCCAAACTTTATTTTGGGTGTTTGTTTGTTTGTTTGCTTGTTCTTGGCTTGTTCGTGGTGGTTAACGAACCAGCATGCTTGTCGTAGTTGCTCTCTGACCGTGACCCACGGTCGCTTCCGGACACGCCTCTCCATGCAGCACGCAATCACTTCACCGTGTTGTTCGGACTGCAAAATCAACATACTGGTCCGAGAGTCCGAGTGGCTACATCGGGTTGAGCGGGTGAAAGCCTTCAACCTTCGAGTTGCAGCTCGCTGGGTGCGTCGCCGGTTTCGAGATAACATCTGCAAGCGCGTGTAATATTGCCCCCCCAACTTTGTCGATAGAGCAAGCGATCAACAACACTGTTTGCATCAGCGGCAACTTCATTTCCAACCTGCGGCAGCTGTCGACGCAGATAATTGTTGTCGCGCGCTATGCTCGTGTACGTCGGGCGCAACGCCTTCCTGCAAGCCGAACTAGCAATGCCAGGCTCCCTTTTGCCGTAGAAAAGCTGCAGACCGCATTTTGCCAATCTGAAATGTGCAAAACTGCAGGCTGTGACAACAGTCCTTATGAAGCACTCGCGGTCGGGCTGTGCTGGCAACAAAGATGCAGACATTCACGTGCTGTTTTGCAAGGCTGCTGGAGCGGTTGATCTTGAATTTTTGTTTTTCCCCGACTGATTTTTCGAGCGATCCATGCGCGGCCCCAGTGCACCTGCAGACTACGGCCGCAGCGGCTCAGCGCGCCGGCAGGCGGGTGGGCAAAGGCGGGCACGCGTCGAACAGGGCGTCCTGCAGAGGCGGCTCAGGCATAGGAGCGTTGATGGGCGGTGACCCGAGCAGAGTGGCGGCAAGCGCGTTGTGCACAGCATTGCACAGCAACGTTTGCAAGGCCCCACCAAGGCCTGGTAGCAGCTCCCCGTAGCGGAGCGGGGGGTCCTCGCCGGAAGAGCTCGGGGTAGGCAGCCCGCTTGCGGCGTTCGGCAACGGCGAGGGCAGCACCATCTCTGATCGTCGTGGAGGGCAGGCGCGTGCCAATGAGCGACGCGACGTACGCTGGCCGATGAAGGTGCCCAGCGAGGACACCCCTCTCGGTTTCGAAGGCGTCGCCGGCCCAGACCCCTTCACCGAGCTCGGCAGTGCGGGCGCCCGCGCAGTTGTGAACACTCGGTTGCCGAGGTTGGCGGCCCGCAACGTCCAGCAAAAGCGGAACAAACAACGAGGAGTTTGTGCTGGTGGCTAGTGGCAACGGTGGTGGTTCCAGCTCGGCATGTTGGACGAGGCTTTGAGGCTCTGCATTGTGTGCGCCGACGGGAGGCTGCGCGTCCGCAGGCGCTGCAGTGTTGGTGGCCGCGCCAAGCCTTGCGAGCCCAGGCAACTCGAGTGGCGCGGGAGTTCGGCCGCGTCAACACTGGAGAAGGTCCTCGCTGCGTAGTCCGGAAACGCACCGAACAATTGCATGGGTTGGGTCGGGGATTTGGACCAGTACAACAACGAACTTGTCTGACCCCTCCGAGAGAAGCTCATGCAGCTGAGGAGCTCATGCAGCTCCAGCCCCGGTCCATCCCCGAGGTCAGCAGGGAGGCTGCGACAGCGCGCTGCACGGCGACAGCTGGAGATTGGGAGGTTGCCGTTGGGGCGCAGGATCGGTTAAACATGACCCCTATATGCCTTGGAGGCTCAAGAGGGCGGGAAAATAGACTGACGCTAACGCAACCCCGCACGGGCCAGACCCAAGCTGCGAAAGGAAGCCCGCAGTGGCACAGGTACCTTCAAGGCCCGGTGCCCAGCGAGCAGGCGGAGCCGGGTGGCTGCTTCAGCGCCAAAACGGTCCCGCCCGACTTCGACACCGACAACAACCAAGAGGCAGCGACGGGCACGAACGAGTTCAGGAAGTTTGCTGTGGAACATGGCCCAAAAGCAACCCCCTGGATCTGAGCTGGAGATTGAGGGTTGCTTTTGGAGCTCGGGATCGATCGCCGGAGGCTTGGCCTTGAACGACCAACTGTTATGGTCAGAACATGAAACACGCTAGCCAAACTGTCATATACATCAAGCATCCAAGCAGAAAGCGAGAACCTGAGGACAACATAGCAAAGAACAACGTAAATGAAAGTATGATCATATACATGGTTGGGCCCCAACGTCGATCCGGCCGACCGCCGCCGCTTCGACTTTGCAGCGTACGGGGCTACCCCGCTCAGCTCGGGGATGCTCGGGGAGGCCTCGTGCTGCGATCTCACGCTCGTGTTCCCGCTGACTCGGGATGGGCGCCCAGCCTTCTGCCGCATCGCACGACGATGCCCTGATCGCTGTCGCTGAGAGGCGCAAGCGCACAGCGTACCCCGAGCTGTTGCGATCGGGCTGTCAAACGAGCGCTTCTGCATCGTTGCAAGTGCCGAATCGCTCCGCCTCGTCGCCCCACTCGTGCAGCTTCGTGCCCA